AAAACGAAGCTGAGGAAAAAATCCCAAAGCCATCATCGTGAGAAAACTCGAAATTGATCGGTTCGGTCATAACCAAAAGGGAGAATACAAATCAACATATAATAAATAGCATGGCGACAACAAATCACGAGAAGTGGATTAAACATTTCATCAGGTTTATTTAATTTATCCAATCATTTTTGCAGCAGCCAAATAAATTAATGAATCAATAAATTCGAAATAAAGCCCCGAGGTTCTCATCAATGAGACGTTGGTGAGCAATCAAAGAAAAAGAAAGGGTTTGTTCTTATACTTCACCTTGACAGAAATGGTAGGGGCGTGAGACTGATCGGCGACGACGACATAATCGCCAAGAACAACTACGTTACCCTGGATTTCCTCGGAGACGCACTTGGTTCCAGACGGAGGTAAGTTCAACCAGATCGAATGGGCAGTTGGAACAAGATCTACGGCGAAGAAGCTGAGTACGAACAACGGCAATATCACCTCCCGGCGCATGGTGTCTCCGATTACCAAACCGGAATTGAATTGAATTGAATCGAATCTGGTTTGTGATTCAGATCAGAGATTAGAAATGGAGAAGGAAGAAGAAGAAGAAGAAGAACTGTGAATTTCTCGGATTCGTCCGCTCCCCCGTGACTCTGGTAATCTGAATTCTGAATTTTCCCTTCCACCTCCAAATGGATAGACAAAATTAGATTTAGATCGTTTATTGTTAATTTTTTTTTTCTTTTCCTTTTACTTTGTAATTTTTTGGGTTAAATTATAAATTTAGTATAGGTACTATATTAATTTCAACTTTCATTTTAATCTTTTGTATTTCGATTTTAATTGGTATACCTTTAAAAAGTAAATATTTTAATCATTTGTAAAATTTTATCATACACTCAGATACAATTGAAATCTTTTAATACAAAATTACAATTATGTTTTTAAAAAATTTAATAAATAAAATGTTAAGCTAAAATTGTAATTAAAATAAATGAAATAAAAATGAAATTCAAATTATCAAAATGGTCAAATAAATAAATCTTTTAAAGTACAAAGATTCAAAATGGACAATTTAAAATTATAGGAATTAATATTTTAAAAATATAAAGATCAAAATAAACAAAAAAAATAAAAGTACATTATACTTAAAAAAAATAGCATTTAGATTTTTAAATTTTATAGGTTTAGTCTATCTTTTAAAATTTAATTTTGTATCTAATTAACCAATAACTCGATGGAAAAGATATATATTCTTCCTTCGCATATTCAATCCAAACTCCTACATTTTTTTACTAAAAAAATAATTTTATGTTAAATACAAAATTAAAATTGACGAACCCATGTAATTTAATCTAAATTTTCTAATATTATGTTTTATTATTAAATTTTATATTTAAAACTTTATTTTTATTTTAATTGTCAATTTTTTTTCTATAATTTTTTTTTGGAAATAAACACTCCATTAGAAACCAAACTAGTAAAATTCTGTTTAGCCATCTAAGATAATCTCACTCCGGAATACACAACTCCAGTTGAATCACAGAGAGTCGAATTCCAAAAGCTCTCTGCACAAGTTGGTGAGTAGCTTGAGGTATGTATCTTCCGCATTTTTCATGAGATTAATCACATTCACATTTAGGAGGTCGAATTCCAGTTGAATCACACATTTCTCCTCTATTATCACTATTTTAAGTCGGGTATGTTTTTTATACTACAAATAAGGTGGAAAGATTCAAACTCATGTTCTTCTAATCAAAGACAGACGTTTTTCTTATGAGTTAATAACTCCACAAGTACGAGTTTGTGCAGCCCAAAATTATGAGTTTGTATAGCCCAAAGTTGAGAAATCTGAATTTATGCAGTGATGTAAGTTTAGATTATGGAGGGGATTAATCACATGGCATGTATTTAATATTTATTTATGAAGGTAGATTTCAAAAGCGAAATTTGGATTATGAAATCCAATTTGATTAAATTATATACTCTCACTTTTTGAGATGCTTTTTCAATCCACCAACTTCCATAACTCTGCAGTACTGCTCCAACGTTCTTCCAAATCCCCTTTTTTGATTCCCCATTTTCGACCACCCAATCCCCAATTTCTTCCCCCATTCCTTCACAGATCTCGAAACCTCACGCCATGGAAGCTCTCATCTCCCAGTTCACCTTCCTCTCCGATCAAGCTCTGCAGGACAAGAATTTCGACCCCTCCACCATCGAAGGCCTCATGAAGCTCTTCGAGATCGAAGCTTACAAGTCCTGGGCCGCCGTGGAGCTCCATCAGCAGGAGGAGACTCGAGACGCTGAGATCTCGATGCAGCAGGCTGAGGATTATCTCGATTCCGTGATGGACGACGCCATGGATGAGTTCAGGAGGTTCGAGGAGGAGTTCGATCGGATGGCCGAGGCCGAGCTCGCCGACCTGGTTGCCAAGTCGGAGAAGGCTCGGAAGATGGGGAGATTAATGGAGAAGGCGGCGGCGATCGCGTCCAAGAGGTATATGGAAGCCGCCATGAACTCCGCCACCGCTTCCATGAAATCGGCCTGGAAGACGATTTCGTCTAATAAGGTTCATCCTTCTTGAAGCCGCCTCACCTCACATATATCTCTCTCATAATTATTACTTGCTTTTCATTTCTTGGAGAATTGAAATATCTGAAACTTGGAACACCAATCTACAATTTCAACATGTACTCTGCTTTCGAAAAGGAAAATTAAATGCATAAGTAACTACAAGTTCATACATCAATTAGCCAATGTTCCTACAGATTGCATTGTTGTAATCTAGATTTCTCGAACTTCAGACCAAAAAACACTTTCAGAAACGATTTCTGGAACACTAAAATTAATGCCTATATAATAAACTACTAATTCATACTTTATATAGCCAATGTTCCTACAAGTGTAATTATGAGTACAAAATTGCAATTTGATAATCTTGATTTATTGACTTCCAATTAGTCGAAGTGGTTCTGAGATATGGAGCCTGGTTGATTTTGTTGTCATGGTTAGTTTCTGTTTCTTCACCAGAGACCAACTTCATACCTCTGACGTTTGCTTCTTTGAGAGGATCGCTTGGGTGTATAATAATTGTGATGGATCCTCTGTTTTATTTCACCTTCTTCCAGTTGAACGTTCTTCTCCTCCTTTTGCCATCGAGTTAAATCCAGTGGCTTGGGTGAATAATAATGGTAATGATCCCTCTGTTTTCTTTTACCTTCTTTCACTCGAACATTTTTCCTTTCCTCCTCTTGCCATTGAGTTAAATCCAGTGGCATGGGTGAGTGAAAATGGTGATGATCCCTCTGTTTTCTTTCACCATCTTCTGCTTGAACAATCTCTTCCTCCTCCCCCTCCTCTAGAAATTGTGATAAGTTGAGTGGCTTGATTCTTTGAAGTTCAAGATCAGGCAAAAACCTGTATGGCAGTTTCCTGTCATCCATTTTCCGGAATGTGATCGAAATCCTGCAATTTGTCGACAGATTCAAAACTTTAGGAACCAACTTCTTTAAACTTTGTTATTACTAAACAAATCATTGACTAGCCATCCTTTCTTTATTTTGTTCCCTCTCCTCATTCTCCCATCAGAGGAAAGAAGAGAAAAAGAACATGAAGATATTGATGCAAAAAGCACATTTTTTAGTATTTGGTGAAGTTTAGTTTAGATAATTTTAAAGAAAATGTGCAGGCAAAAGGGGAAAAAGTTGAAGAAAAAAGAAGGAACTTTTTTCTCTGAGGAATTGTAAAATAGTTGTAAATAGCAAACCTTTTAGCTGAGACACTGGGTACACAATGCTTAGCAAGATCAGCTCCATTACCACTCAAAACCAACGCAGAACTGCAATAGCAACAAAATAAAACATAAAAATTTTAAGAGGCTTAAAGTTCATTTTGGTCTAATCAAAAGATTATAGTTTAGATTTGTTCCATCAGAAACACAATTACATGGAGCACAACACTATTGTACATACCCCATAGGCAAGGGAATTGAGACAGGACCAGAGAACTCTCCAGGACTAAGAATTTCCAGACGAGAGCCGAACAAAATGTTACTCTCAGTTAGAAACGAAACGGTGCAAAAGGGTCTAAGAAAGTCATGGTGATCAATGTGAGGAGGAATGCAATCCCCTTCATCGTAAATGTTTACGATGCAGCTATCGGGGACGCATGTCCTCGGTAGAATATGCCATTTCACCATCCTCTTGATCATCTTCTTAAACAAAGAAGGCAATGGATCAACTTCCTCATCTCTTACTATACCAGGTGGGGTTCCTTTTTTATCCTACAAAAGGACAATACATAATATAAAAGACCATAAAGGAAGCAAAGGGGTATGAAATAATGGAATTATAGATTGAACAGGAGACACTGAAATCAAATACCTTAGCATAGTTGTAGCAGCATCCAAATTGTATGGTAACTCTTCCTTTGCCTCGCATCCACTTTCTAGGTTCAGAATATGTCCGCTCTGTTGAAAAACACGATTAGTTCAAAGGAAGTGAATGAAAAAGCTAAGTATATAGGAAGAATTGATGTACCTCTAAGTTCGCCTCTTTGTCCCTTGTGTTGTAAATGGTAAACGTAATCGACAATATTCTTCTGTTCTTCTTTGTCGAAAACTCCGCTGTGAAGCTCTAGCCCTTCAAGAATATTGGTCACTTTGCCATCTATTCTTTCCCTATGAACAAACTCCTGCTTCCTCACATTTGCAAATCTTATCTTCTCCTTCTGTTCTTCATATAAATCCTCACCAGATGAAACTCCAGCAATTCCATCATCCACTTCTAAATCTGCACCAGAATACTCGGGCAATCCCCTCATCCTCTTGTTCCCGTATTCCGCCGAGTAGGAATCCCGTTCAGGTGATCGGTGGCGGTGATAGTGGCGGCTTTCCCGTGCATCACCAGATGAAACTCCAGCAATTCCATCATCCAATGCTAAATCTGCACCAGCATACTCAGGCATTCCCCTCTTCCTCTTGTTCCTGTTCTCCGCCGAGTAGGAATCCCGTTTAGGTGATCGGTGGCGGTGGTGGTGGTGGCTTTCCGGTGTGTTGTCGTTACCATGATAGGAGACTTCTGAGTTGCAGTCATGGTCGCAGCTTTCTGGGGTGAAGTCGCCGGGGTAGTGCCGCCGTCTTGCTGCACAAGAATTTCAAAAACAAAACTTCCGATTGAGGAAAACGAGGAAATAGGTCAAATCTAAAGTATTTACAGAACAAAATTTCAGATTGGGAATTTTCTTATTTTGGAAACTAGTTAAGAATTAGAGAAAGAGGGGAATTACTTACTTGTGCGAATCAGAAGGCGAAGGCGTTCTTGAAGAAGAAGATGGCAATTACCACAAAACCCTTCCGACAAAACCTCCGACAAGCGGCCAGAGTCGTGCAACCAGAGAAGTTTCCGGCGGTAGTGAAGATTCTCCATCGCCGGAAGCTCGCCGGCGGCGTCTCTGGCCATCGCTGACTGTAGGGAAAGAAGCTGAAAAAGGAGAGAATTGGAAGAAACCGGTCCTCAGAGATTACTTTGACTCCAAGTTAACCCACATTTTCTTTCTTTCTTTTTTTTGTTTGAGAAATTTGTTTTTTTTTTTTTGTTTGAAATAAAGAAATTTGTTTTCTATTGGTTTTTATTTATGGAATGAAATCTAAAATATTATAATATACTCCGAATTTATTAACCTAAGGTTATAGACTTCTAGTTTTAGTGTAACGGAGGATCGGAATAGAGATATTCTAACCATAATTGATCATCCAAATTCTGAATAAAATAAATAATTAATTAAATTATAAATTTGGTAAGTTTTGAAAAGATCAAATTTATTTATTTATTTTTGATAAAGAAGATCAAGTATAAATTAGTAAATAAACAACTCTCTTATAAATGAAACTTTCCTCTTTTTATTCTTCCCTTATTTTTTTCATTCTAATTTTAATTGCATTTCTTAAATTTCCAATGTTTATTTGTTTATTTTATTATTTTTAGTTCCTTAAATTAAATAAATGATAGAGATATTTTTGAAAATGTTATAAAATAAAACAAATATTTAAATTACTAAATAATCATTTCATCATTTTTAAATAAATTAATATTCTAAAATATTTTATTTTTGAAAAAATATTATGTCTATATTATTGATATTTTGTTGATTTTTTTGCAATACTATGAAAATGTCGATTCTCCTATTGTGTTAAAGTCGAGCTTAGGAACATATAGAAATATCGACATGTTGATAGAAATTTAATACTCTGATCTTACTTAAGAAATGAAAGAAGAAGGCTGCACATTTATTTCGAGAGAGATGATAACGAGAACGAACCAGGGATCAAAGTCGGTAGTGATGTATATTATGTTTTTTTTTTAAGTGTTTGTTCATTTTAAATAAGAATAATTGAGTGAGATATGAAGTGTTCTTCTAACATTACTTTATTGGGTGAATTTTTATTCTGAGGTAATTGATTTACATTTTAGACTATATTACCACTGAAACCTTCAATTTATAAGGGATATTTCATCATCTCTTTGACTTTTGATCTATTGAATTATGTTTAAATTTGTGGTTCAATTGAATGGAATGAAATGGATATTTAACACTAAGAATATACCTACTCATCCACATTAATTTTTTTTTAATTTAATGTCATTTTCTTTATTTAATTTCGACTTTGAAGAATATTTTTTCAGAAAAAAAAAAAGAAAGGACTTGATTGAACATTTTTTAACTTTGAAGATTAAGTTCAAATGTTCTAAGAAAAAATATATACCATAATTTAAGACCAAATGATATATTTAACTAAAAATATAACATTTTTCTCAAAAAAAAAAAACTAAAAATATAACATCAAAGAGTATCATAGTTCTACTTTTATCACGTTCCATGATAATTTCTATTCTTCGACCTTCTCTAAGTTCATTCTAAGCAAGGTTTTAAATGTCGATATCGATAGAAATGTCGAGGTCTCAATTCCATGGAAATATCAATAAAATGTCGATGTCGATAGATATTTCTGTAAAAGTTAGACAAATTAAAAAATCGTGAACAATATTTAAATTAATAAAATAAACATTGTCCTATTTCTAAATTAGTTAAAAATAATTAATATTAATATTAGGTATATATTAGTGATATTTTGTTGATATTTTTCATGTTTTGTCGACTTTATTGTTCTATGATGGAAATATTATGTCGATTTACCCACTCATATCGATGTCGAACCCATAAAAATATGAATATGTCGATGGAAATGTCGACGGATATTTAGAACCATAATTGTAATAGAAAATTATTCAATATCAACATCACATCGAGATTAAAAAAAAATTATTAAACATGACCACCGTGATGTGATGCAACTTCCATAACAAGCACATTTTTTAATCTCTTTCACACTCCCACCAATATAAATTATTTGCCAACCATACATATATTGAATAATTTGTTGAGGTTTAGAAGTAGGAGAAACACATGCAGAAGCAACTTTCCCACTCGAAACTTCTGTTTGGGAGCCAAGAAAATCCGAGGGAAAATCATCATAAACTTTCTCCAATTTCACATGCATACGTTAAATACTAAACTTGAGGTTTCATCAAAGAGGGGAAGGGCTATTTTTTTTTAAATTTTTTCTCTATATCCTTTCAAAATATGGAGACATAATCAGAAAAACTTTTGAAAAAAAAAAAAAAAACAGAAAAGGTAAAAAGAGGGTCCTCATACGACACTTGAATTAAAAGATTGATAAAAATCCTGCAATGTATAATATATATTCCTTAGCTCAATGAAATATTCTCTTCTGCACTTGTAGATCTTATAACATTGAGTTGATGAAAATGAACTGAAAAGAGAAATAAAAAACATTTGTAATGTAATTTTCTTATAACCCTTTTTCATTTTCCTTTTTAACGATCTCATTATCAACAATTTGATACCAATAAAAATGTCAGAACCCAACAAAAACATGAACTAATAATATTGAAATGGGTAATTCCAAACTGTTCATGGCATTAAGGTTGGATCGATCATACAGAGGAAAGCCTAATTCCTTCATTTTCACAAGCTGTGACAATCAAGTTGTTTCTAAAGCATTAACAACATCAAACTACTGACGAAATCATTGACCAGAAGAAAAGAGTAACATAACAGACACAGATTCGACTTTCAATCCTAAGCCTCTCGATCCCTAGTGCACCAAACAAGCAATAAAGAGCTCTCTCATGGCTCCACTTCCTTAACATTAACCCTCTGAATAACAGAGATCATCCATAAAGTGCCAAATTGTCCATCTCTCAATTCTCAAGAGCACAAAACAAGCAAAAAAGAGTTCTTCCGTACCTTCACTTACTTGCCATGAAGCCTCTTCTCCATTTCTCAATCCAAAGTGCACAAATCAAGCAATAAAGAAGTGTTTCATACCTTCATTTACTTGCCATTAAGCCTCTCGATAACAGAGATCAGCCCTTGAGTGCCAAATTTTCCATCTCCATTTGCCACCATTGCAGAGAACAATTGCTTGGCCAATGCAGCCCCTGGCAACACTGCAATCCTCTCATCCTCACCTTCTTCCACAACATCCACACCCATCCCCAAATCCTTCACCATATACTCAGCAAATCCACCAGGCCTAAAGTCCCTTCTTATCATCCTCTCCCCAAACAACTCCATCGCCATTGACCCTGCTGCCCCTCCCCTCACAGCTTCCACAAACTGCTTCAAGTCCAACCCGGCCCGCTCTGCAAACACCAGCCCTTCGCTCAGCCCCATCAGATTCGCCCCAATCGTTATCTGGTTAGCTATCTTGCAGCTTTGCCCACACCCAGATTCACCCACATGGGTAACTTTTCCCAATATTTCAAAGAGAGGTGCTAACCACTTCACTACCCCTGCATCACCCCCCGCAAAAATGGCTAACTTTCCATCTCTAGCACCAATGTCGCCCCCAGACACTGGTGCATCGACAGCCCAACAATCTATTAAGAATATGAATGAATGATCAAATATAAAGTAATCAATCTATCAACGGATCAAAGCAACAATGTTCAAATGTTATTTTATCTCTAATTGATATTGATAATAATTTTTTAAACTCTGGACTACTTTCTAATCCTACAAGGAGAGGAGTGTCAAGAATATAGATAAATAATTAAATATACCGTTGATAATTTAACCCAACCTTTTGCACGAGCAGCGGCAAATATCTCGCGGGCAAGGGCTGGGTGGCTGCTGGTCGTGTCAACAACTACGCCACCAGGGTTGAGGCCTTGCAGGAGCCCGTTGTTCTCCAAGACATTTTGTCGAACATCTGATGGGTGACCCACCATAGTGAAAACAACATCGCTGGTCCGAGCTACTTCAACTGCGGAATTGAGAAGACGGGCCCCTTTGGATTGCAAATCAAGAGCCTTAGAAGGGGTACGAGCGTAGATTGCGACGGAGTATCCTGCGGAGAGGAGTCGAGTGGCCATGGCGGCGCCCATCACTCCTATGCCGATCCATCCGATGCGAGTTTTTGTGGGAGTGACGGGGATCGGGTAAGGAGTTTCCATGGCGGAATGAGGATCTATTGGGCAATCCGATTCAGAGGAATTGCAGACATAGCGATGGATTTTCACGAGCTGACTGAAAAGTTTACTATGAACTAATGAGATTCTCGGAAGCCATGGGAAATTGGGAAAAAATCTGCTCGTGTTATGTTTAATCGCTGGATAATTGGTGATAATAAAACAAACGAACCTTTTAAAAGAAAATAAAAGATTCTTGACATATTTTTCTTTCGAGAGAATTACATAAATAGCAAAACAAAAATATGTAATTTTGATTTTCAAATATATTCTAGGAACCTAACATAGTTTGATTTGAAGTAAAAAAAAAATCACATAGAAAAAAAAAAGGTTAGGTTTGTAACATTTTTCAAAACAATTAAAAAACGATATTAGTCATCACGATTCGAATCTCCTAAGTTACTTATCAACATTCATGACCAAGTTAGTATTGGGATAGTAAATGGAGTTGCCTTCATTGATGCCCATCGCTGCGTCAGCTTGTCTTCGCAGTATGACACAAGGATGATAGAAGAAGGATTTCCTTGAGATGTCGAGCAATATTGTCTTTTGACATCTACACAAATAGTGTCATCGGGGATATAGTGCCTAATTTTGGTTCTTAATTTCTTTACTACACTCATTCAAATACACATAGAGAACCCCGTCTATAGACACTGCAAACACTTGCAAACACTATGTGGCTTCCCAATTCTGGAATGTGGTATTTTTTATCGGCTCCCAATATCACCAGCCTAATGAAGCTCGAGTTGGCGTGTACCACAGTGCCGTTTTTTATCGAAGGTCCATATCTTGTCACTTCTTCTAAATTTCAGAACACTTGTCCACTACAACTTTGGCTTTGTAGGCATCGTCGGAAGGAACCAAACAATAATACATGGTCATGAAAATTTTTGAATCCGTCACCGTCACCCTTTAGATGTTGTTGTTAAATTTTAAGTGGTAGATGCTGAATTTTCTACAAGTAACGAGTAAAAATAATTAGGAAAGTTGACATTGAGAATGCAATATACAAGTTGACCAATCAATGTGATTATTATTACTATGTTCAAATTTGTGCCTCACCTCTTTCAATCACACTCATAAAAACAAAGAATTTTCTTCTCAAATATTTTATTTTAGTTTCTAGGCTTTCAAATTTGTTTAGTCTATAAATTTGGTATACAAAATTATTTTAAATTTTGATGTTAAACTTTTTAAACACCCTTGATCTACTGTAAATGAAATTAAAATAGTCGTTGAAGTCTACCAATTTTCATGGGACTGTAGTTAAATTAATTATGAAAAATTAATATATAATAAAGACTAAAATGAAATTAATCAAATAAAAATAATAAGATTTTATTTTATTTAGTACAACATATGAAGGTGGAGATCAAACTCACAATCTCTTGATTGGAGATATATGTCAATTACCGCTAAGCTATGTTGTTCGCTTTGACACCATGAGTAAGATTTTAAGTCTAACAAGTCGATCACAAGCATTCAAACGATTTAATGAGGACTAAATTTTAATTAATTCATAAAATATCCGGTAGAACATCCCTAGATAAGAGTCTAGAAGTCCATAAAACTAACAAAAATAAAAAACAAAGCCTAATGCAGTAGTCTATGGAGAAAATCTTAAGGGCAAGGCAAAATGAGAGAGGATAAATATTTTCATAAAGGTAATCTCTTCTCTCGAACTGAAACCTTTATGATTACGAGCCTTGAAATTCCTTCAATTTAGTGATTATTTGATTTTGTTAGAAAGGATAAACTTGAAAAAGTAGTAGATAGGTAAATAGAAATAGATAAATATCCACATTTATTTATTAGGTGCTTATAAGTAAAGCATTTAAAAAGTTACAAGACCTAGTTACAGATAAGGCCTTGTGTGGATATGACATATACAATATTATATTATATTAACAATTCAGAGTATCGTCCATTGCTGGGTAGGAGTGCCATCACGAGTGTCGATAACGACAATTTGGGATCCCTCAGGTTTTCTATCGACATCCAAGACCAAGTTAGTGTTGGGATGGTAAATGAAGTTGTCTTCATTAATATCCCATCGTTGTGTCGCCTTGTCGTCACAGTTAGACACAAGGATGACACTAGATGGATTTCTTTGAGACGTCAAGCAGTAGTCTCTGCTGCCATAGTTATCAACACGGATGGTGCCGTCAGAATATAGTGCCCAATGTTGGTTCTTATTTTTTTTATCACATAGATTCAAATACACAAAGGGAGCACCATTATCCATGGACTGCAAACACTGGTTTTCAAGCCACTTGATGTTAACCACAGAAGGGGAGAGACCCTCGGTGGCTTCCCAGCTTTGGGATGGGGTGTATGCGTCAGTTCCCAATATCACGAAGTTGTCTGGTTTCGCTGTCAGGACGAAGCCCGAGTTCTCGTGGACAAAAGTGCCATCACTCCTATGCTTCCATTTCTTGTCACTTCTTATCAATTCAGAGCACTTGCCCAATACGGCTTTAGCTTCATACGCATCGTTGTAAGGAACCAAGCAATATAAGTTGTCCTTGGTTCGAATGGTGCCATCTTCAAGGATGCTCCACATTTGGGTCTGTTTCGCAACGTCACACCGCGATAATTGAGTTTGAGCGTAAAGTGGTCGGACATTGGGAACAACAATGTCCAAACACATTCCATCTCGACCTACAATATGTGATATTTTTCCGAAGCTTCCATACCCAGGATATGGATAGGCCGCCATGCCACGATAGACACTCATTAGTACTGAAAGTGCGACAACAATGTAGACCACCATCCCTCTCATCATCCTCCCCATATCTCACTTGCTAGCTCCAATAATTTGCACTAAGACTAGATGTGCTTAGCTTGACAAACTTGGGCTAACATGTATCCTATATATACACAACACAACACACTGCAAAATCGCATGATAATATTAAATTTACAGTGGGGAATGAGTCACTATCCACGTCATACCTCCATTAGTGTGGCTTTTCAGTACAGTTGAATTATTGAACCTAAACGTCACTTCCATATCACTTGGAAAATTGTTGGAGTGGTAAATAATGCTGAATTTCCTATATAATGCTCCCTAATAAATATTTATTTGTTATTTAATTAATTTCTGTAAATACTATTAATATTTATGAAATTTCTTCTAATTGACAAGAAGAAAAATAGCCTACTTATATTATATATCGTGGCTAGGTTCTCTATCTTTTCAACATAGGATACTAAACAAATACCGTTAAAGAATGAGTTTTAGTCTATTATTTGAGTAGAGTTATATTCTTTTAATTCTTTAAATAGCAGTGTAAATCATGTCAATGAGAAGAATTCTTTCCAAATTAATGAGACATTATAACGTGGTATCAGATTTATTTTGACACGTCTATTTTGGTTATTCTCCTTTTCAATGTGCTTCGATGGCCGCTTCTAGTTCTTCTTCGACAAATCCCGCCTCGTCAATTTCCTTCTCTCCAATATTTTTAATCTTGTATCCATTCGTCTCGATACGTCAAATTTCGTCTGTGGAAATTATTCAATTGACCTCGATTCTGAAAGCTCACAAATTCCTTGGTTTCATCGATCACCTTGTGTAAATTTTAAAGTTTATAGGAGAGAAAGATAATTAAATTTGTCACTACCCATCAACTTACTAAACACTTTATTTCATCTACAATACATGGGTTTTAAATATATTATGCTGACATCTACCGACTTCGATAAAAGAACAAAAACATCTCGCGATGGTTGTTAAACGAATTATGAAAAATTAATGATATAAAGACTCAAATGTGAAATTAATCAAATAATAACAATATCATTTTCTAAAAATGGTTTTGCAAAAATAATAAAAGTTAATAACAAGATCTAAATCCTATTTTTTTTACCGTCAACATACATGAGTTTAGTTAAGTAATTTAAAAGATAATGAGTTCGAATCTTTTCCTTCCTATTTATTGTACTAAAAACAGTACTTATTGTCGGAAGGAAAGAAAATATCCCTCTACTATTTTAAATGCACAAAAAGTTATATTAATGGAGTAGAGTTTATCAGTTAACAAAGTTAAATTAATGTCACTAATTGTACTTACACTTAACTAGATTCTTATTTGTCTCAGGAGGGAGTGGAATCTTTCATAGATTCATTAGTGGACACGGTTGGGTGGGTTATGAGGTTATTAAAGAAAAGAAAACAAATCATTTTAATTCCTAAACATGATAATTTATATCAATTTTAGCATAAAGTTCAAATTTTATAAAATTAAACTTGAATTAAATAAGTGTATTCAGATTTCGCTACATTCACTCCCTAACAAAGAAAAGTAGTGCAAATATCTATAAAAAAAAAAAAAAAAATCACCCATTAATTTCAATGAAATTTTAAACCTTGTACAATATTAAACTCTTTCATACACAAAATTTGCTATTGAATAAATCTTCCAAAACTCATAAATTTTTATAATTCATTTATATTTAGTATATGAAAGATAAAACAGAAAAAGAAAATTCTTTTCTATTATATTGCCCATCTTATAAAATGTATCGTCCAACAGGAACATAACTAATTAATTGATTGAAGCATTACCTTACTTTCCTAAAAGTCGGAAAATTCATATTCTCAATCTTTATTGAACTGAAAAGAAAAATAGGTGTGCTGCATCTGTTAAACAACGTGTTACTTTTTTTCACATAGTTTTGCAACATTTTTCTCTACCTCAAACAGTCTATGAAGACTATGTGTAGGGCATTCCGATACCAATATTGGGTTTTCGTAGTATTGGATATTAACTTTTTGTAGCTTTGCAGTGGAATCCACAAAAATCAAGTAGCGATCGGAGATGAATCACGAATGAAAAAATCTCACGTTTCACAACTGATTTCTAGTGAATAATTTGAGATAACCTTGTCGCACGCACCCCTGATACAGTGAGAGTGAGAGAGATGAAAGATTTTAGGGGAGGAGCAGTTACGTCGTGCTTCGATCCCCATAATTGAAAAAATTTGAAAATTTCTTTCATCCGCATAACTTTTTTCCAACCTTTTGTTAGTTCAATAGTTACAATAGGCTTTATATCATTTTTATAAAGTAATTCACAATTTAGCTTAATTTATAAGCTAATCTGACCTTTAATTTTAGRTTTTATTACAATGTATGTAACACCTAAATTACCTAGCTTGTTGTTACTATTATTATTATTATTACCAAGGATAATCTTAGCATAATATTAGACTTAAGATAAAAATAAATTTCTTACAAGTCTTACTAAAAAAAATCTCATGTGCCTATTAGGGAGGAAATGCCAGCATCATGTTAAGATCCTACATTAAAAAGATAAAAAGACCTAACAAGGATTTATAGTACAAGTTGACTACTCCTCTCATTTCCGATTAATTTTGAGAATGAAACTCTATGAATATTGACATAACAAGTACTAAATTATGGATTATAATGATCATTTGATTTTGTTAGAAAGGATGAACTTGRGAAAGTAGTAGATATGTAAATAGAAATGGATAAAGATCCACACTTATTTATTGGGTGCTTATAAGTAAGCCATTTAAAGAGTTACAGGCAAGGCCTTGTGTGGATATGGCATATACAATATTATATTATGTTAGTAGTTCAGAGTATGGTCCATTGCTGGTTAGGAGTGCCATCACGAGTGTCGATAACAACAATTTGGGATCCCTCAGGTTTTCTATCGACATCTAGGACCAAGTTGGTGTTGGGATGGTAAATGAAGTTTTCTTCATTGATGCCCCACCGTTGTGTTGCCTTGTCGTCACAGTTAGACACAAGGATGACACTAGATGGATTTCTTTGAGACGTCAAGCAGTAGTCTGATCTCTTGCCATAATTATCTACACGGATGGTGCCATCAGAATATAGTGCCCAGTGTTGGTTCTTATTTTTTTTATCACACGAATTCAAATACACAAAAGGAGCACCATTATCCATGGACTGCAAACACAGACCTTCACGCCATTGGATGTTAACCACAGAAGGGGTGAGACCCTCGGTGGCTTCCCAGCTCTGAGATGGGGTATTTACGTCGGTTCCCAATACCACAAAATTGTCTGGTTTCGCAGTCAAGACCAAGCCCGTGTTTTCATGGACGAAAGTGCCGTCGTTCTTATGGTTCCACTTCTTGACACTTCTCATCAACTCAGCACACTTGCCCAATACAGCTTTGGCTTCATAAGCATCATTATAAGGAACCAAGCAATATACGTAATCTTTGGTCCGAATGGTGCCATCTTCAAGGATGGTCCACAGTTGGGTCTGTTTTGCAGCTTCACATAGCGATAACTGAGTTTGAATATAAACTTGTGCGGGTTCGAACTTAGCAATGTCCAAACACAGTCCATCACGACCCACAATATGTGATTTTTTGCCGAAGCTTCCATACCTAGGGTATGGGTATGCCGCCATGGCATGGTGGGCGCTCATCAGTACTGAAAGTGCGACAACAATGCACACCACCATTTCTTTCATCATCCTCTCCATATCTCACTCGCTAGCTTCAATAATTTGCACTAGATTAGATGTGCTTAGCTTGACAAACTTGGGCTAACATGAATCCTATATATACACAACACAACACACTGTAAAATCGCATTACAATATTCAATTTGCAGTGGGGGAATGAATCACTACCCACAATACCTCCATTATTGTGCCTTTTGAGAGTAGATCAGAGGTAAATTATTGAACCTATACGTCACTTCCATAACACTTGGAATATTGTTGTGTAGTGGTAAATGCTGAATTTTCTACAAGTAAAAAAAAAACAATAAAAATAACTACCAAGTTAGCATGGAGAATGTTACACTAGTAAACTCGACGTGTGGGTGTATTATTATGCTTAAATTTCTGCTTTCAATGGTCAAATTTGAATCATACTCAAAATGGTTATTAGTGATTAAATATGTCGTAACCTACCGACTTAAACTTTTAGGTTCAGTTTAATGGTGCTTTAACAGATCTTTAAGTCMTGTGTTCGAACCATATAGTGYCATTTCCTCCCTAATAATTAAGATTGATAATCGTTTGTTCGATCGTGCGTAGACTTTGAAGTTCACRAGAGAGGGAGAAGGAAGCGGACCCATCAACTTGCTTAACACTTTATTTGATCTTTGCTTATTTCAATAAAAGAAAAAAAAAAGACATCTCTCGTTGCAGTGTTGTTATAATAAAAAATCATTTTCTAGAAATGCTTTTGCAAAAATAATAAAAGTACGTCAACTAATTATAACTTCAACTTCATAATTTTCCTAGTTGTTGACGTGGTTTTCGACYGAGCTCCACAGGTCAATCACGAACTAATTGGAATGAGCTGTCGAGATGCGACCTCACCTGACAATGGGACATGCATAGGGAACAAATACTCCGACACTCAAATTAGAGTGAACTCGAGCTATATCAGATCGTTCTCGGACATAATAGCATACCTGATTCATGAGGTGGGGTGTCCCTTTTATACGCAGGCCGCGGAGATATAAGACCGTTGGAGCCGTTTCGACCAGCGGTTATAGCTGTTGGACCTTCAAGTCGATGGTCGGATTACTCAGGTCGGCTTATATGATTTCTTCATCTCAGCTTTTTGATCAGGTCGGCGTGTACGGATGGTCCATTTTATGCCTTCTAGTGACTCCAAACTGAGTAGGTGTGTGTGCTGGCTGGATACTCAATTTTGACCCAACAATAGTAAAGGACAAACACGCTCTCCTAAGTGTTGTGCTCTTTTCCTTGAAATTTATTTCATTTTGTTTTTCTATCTATTTTGTTTATTTTATATCAGGATTCGTATACCCAGTAATAACAAGATCCAACTACTATTCATTTACAATTAAAAAAAAAAAAAATCCAACTACTATTTTTGATCAACTAGTAAATAAATAACAAGACTTATACTTGTATGGAGCAATGTTTTCTCGTCAAAATGGAAGAGATATGTTAAACTATTTATTCTTTTGAATATTTTTCCCCCAAATTTTAAGGACCATTAGGAAAAAACTCATTATGAGATCATTTATKGACAAATCATCCAATGACTTTAATAATTAGTTTTTATAGGTATAAAAGTTAAATTAATGGAGTTGAGTTTATCAGTTAAACATAAAGTTAAATCAATTATGTCATTAAGTGTTACACTTATTAAATTCTTATTTGTTTGTTGGGAATGGAGTGGAATCAGCTGGCATAGATTCCATATATGCAATTAGTGGAGGGTTGGGTGGGATATGAGGTAATTAAACGAAATTAAAAAAATCACTTTTTACTCTTAAACACGGTTCAAAAAGTCGAGCGGCTCGACATGTCGTGTCARTATACTCGACGTCGACACGGGGGAGGGGGGAGAATTCGATTTTCCCCCATGTCGTTATGTCGACRAGATGTCGACATATCATTTTTTTAAGGTTATTTTATTTTCGTCTTCTTCCTATTATACCACTACAATCTATAATTTCTCACAATCTCGATAATGGTAATAATCTTAGTCTGTTCAATGCAACATATAAAGTATAACTAATAAGATTTGGAATTTGCTTTATTGATAATTTCTAATCCAATGTAGTCTTTAGTTACACAATTGAACAATATATGTGAAATATTGACATATATAAATTCAAATTAGGTAAAAATTAAAAAGGTAAAAAAAAAGAAAGAATAATTTGATTGAATTAGAGATGTGTTTGGACGTTTTTTATTGGAAAGTTGGATTGACGATTAATTTGAAAATGTGTTTGAAAAATGTGTAAATTCAAATTTGAGAAGAGAGGTAGGTAAAAAGTAAAAAGGTACGAGTTAACTAGAATTTAGAAATGTGTTTGAAAAACAAGTCGATAATTATCACATTTTCAAATGAATCCTATCATGAAAGACACTAAAGAAGCAGTCAAAAGTTTACCATTAAAGTGTAGTTTACATATTCAAATAATTTTCATCCATCTTGATTAAAGAAAAAATATTTTTTTAGATATTTCCATCCACGTCGACATTTTCATAAATAAAATGGTCATATTCTTACATTTAATGGTTAAAGACGATCAATCAGAGGCTAATTAAGCTTTACTAATTCAAAAAATTTCCATCAATTTCCACAATTTCCATTATTTTTCCTGAAATATATCCGTCGACATCAACATRTCCATAAAATCGAGACATCGACATTTTGAATCTTTCTCTTAAACATGGTATATTTGTGTTGATTTTACCGTAAATTTTTAATTTTATCACATTAAAATTCCGCTACAGTCACCCTATAATTCTTTAAAATAAAAGTAATGTAAAAAATTTCAAAAAAATCACTAATTTAATTCAATGAAATTGAAAGTTCAAGTCTCGTACAGAAACCTAGAGCATATATATTGACTTCCAATTAGCCTATATGTGTTTGCAGTACTAATTAAATTGAGATTTCCATGGAGATTGGCTCGGGTGTGGGTGCAGTGATAAGTTCATTTTATATTTATTTATCATTTAGTTTTAAGTTATTTTTAGCTAATTTCTTAAAGCTTTTGAGTCCTAGTTCACATATATTTTATTTACTTTTGTTGGTGAAGAAATTAACGGAGATATCTTATCCATCTATCTATTATTATTCTAACTCGTCAATCTATTATTTAAGATATGTGTAGTAGTAGACTCAACTACTGTTTTGTTAAACATTTACCACCTCGATGGAATGAAAACCCAAAACATATATTTTACTACTAAAATTTAATATGCAACCATGAACATAACTCAAGTCAAGGATGACTTAACGTCTCCAAAAATTCCGTTNTAACATTTAACGTGAAGGTATATTTACTCGAGTCAAAGTGCTGCAGGTTTAGAATAATTCTCCTTGCCTTTGAACTACATGATGGTTGACCCGTTAAACATTTTTTTTAATTCATGAATTTATTAAAAACACAATTAAAAATTCAAAGATCTTTGATAATTTTGTGTCTAATAAATCGGTGAATTTAAAAAAAATGTTGAAAAGACTAGATATGTATTAGTCACAAAACTGAAAGCTATTAATACGAGATTCAAAGTTCGTAGACTTAATAGACGCTTAAGAACCTAACAAAATTGAAAGTTTAGAGGTCTATTAGATATATTTTAAAGTTGAGATTTATTAGCCAACTACTTTGAAGGTAAGGTACTAATTTAACTCTAACCTCTACCCTTATTATTATAGACATGGTGTTATGTTCGAGCTTTCAATCATTGTAGGTAATAGATCATTACCAATGTCTTAATCCTTGAGGCTATATGTTCAAGAACTTTGGATCGGCCCTCCAAATATGGCTCAAGCAGGCCAGTCGAATTTAAAAATTTTAAATTTTATATTCAATCAAATAATTTATAGAAGGGTTGAGCTAGGTTATACGTTGGGCCGGACAAGTCAACGTATGGTAAGTTCTCCTCTATTCTATTTGAAATCCATATTGTGACTAGCATTTGTTGCTGTCAAATAAATAAATTTTAAAACTCATTTATATCGGGAGGAAATATTTTTTCTCAATCAAGAATGCCTCTCAATTGGATAAATGGAGTTGTATTTTTTTTTTTTAGGAAATACCATACATCAACAATTATATATTGAAGTTGAAGTGAGCGCTACTGCATTGAATAATTTTTAGTTTATGATCACATGCCACACTTAGCTTATGATTCATTTCCATAATGTAATTTAACTTTTGTTACTCAAATAAAAAGAAGACATTTGTTTGCAATAATGAGTTGTCTATACAAACCGAACATAACTCAGTGGTAATTGACATATATCTCCAACTAAAAAGTTGTGAGATCGATTCCCTACCTCCATGTTGTACTAAAAAAAATATGTTTAAATTAATGAGATTATAAAAGTGATATACAGGTTGGCCCAGTTCATATATAGATGTTATAATATGGGTTGTGATTAAATCCACTAAAATAATTAATGTGTTCTCCATCAACATAAATGAAATATTTGTGTGATACACACATATCTTATAACCCCAACTTCCTCAAACTAGTGCAAATTAAATTAATTAAATTCCAAATCAGATATTGAGAGAAATCTTGGTCTTGATCATTGTTACTGTTATTGTTTCTTGGTCGAGCCACTACTACATCTTAATATTATTTGAAGGTTCGAATCTCTAATCTCGAGAAAAAAGGTACATGCTAATTACCGCTAAGTTATGTTCATATTGGCGGTCACTAAATTTATAAAAACGATTTTAACACCCTTCAAAATATGCATAAAATATCGATGTTTATAATTTTGTTTTTCTATAACCACAATTCCACACAAAACTCTCCGCTTGCAAATAACAACTTAAGCGTAACACTTAATGTTATATTGATGTTAACTTTGTTAACTAATCAACAAAACTCCATCAATCTAGGTAACGTTCGCACACATTTAGAGTCGCATAGTTAGAGTTGTTTGTGGTAATGTTATCGTTTCTTGTTTTATGTTTCCTATTTCTTGTTTCTAACTATTTTAAAACTAGACATAGGAATACATTTTGTGATTATTTCTATTTCTTATTTTTTGAAAAAAAAAACAGAAACAAAATATGTGTGATAGCTATTTCCTATTTCTTGCTTTTATTTTTAGTTTTTTTAGTACAATAATTTGTGGGGTTGTGATTTGAACTCGCGACTTCCTAGTCGGAGATATATGTCTTTAACTCATATTGGTTTATTTTTAGTTTTAGTTGAAGTAAAACTGAGTAGATATAATATAAAAAAGATATAATGATACTCAAAAGAAATTACAAACCAGTATCAAGAGTTTTTAAAGTATCTAATACAATTCAAGTCTCAAAAGTAAAATTAAAAGAAATAAATAAATATTTAACCTTCAAATGTTGCCCAGCCAAATTTGATCTACAATATGGTCTCTTAGTCAGAGTCATTTGTCTAAAATTATTTCGACTCATATCTAGTTCAATTAGACTACTCTGCGTTTCGGAACACACTTTGTGAATCTTTAAAGTGATCATTGATTCATTGTTGTATTCACGTGTCAAATGAGTTACAAAACTAACATTAAAAGTACTTTCTTTTGCGAAATTTTAAGTTTTGGTAGAATTTTTAATTCTAGATGTTGTGCATTAATCTAACTTCACTTGATAAAAGCTTGATTTTTATTAAGTTAATGAGTTGTATCCTAATTGTTTAATGATGATTTTTTTTTCAAGATAAATGTATTAAACAAGAAAACAGAAGATCTCATGGCCCGAGATCAAGGCACAACATCCAAAAGGCAAACACAAGACAAGAAGTAAGAAAAAAAATCAAGAAAACAAATCTCAGGCCAAGATAAATATAGGATCAGAACTCAAACAGCAGTTCTTGGGTCAGGAAGTATAACAATAGACCTCAGCTTTCAAGACGTGCAAGAGGACAGAAAGCAATCGGCCACCTGACCTACATGAACTTTAGCATTATGCTCCATCCAGATAAAAGAAACAACTGAAGTCCATGCCAAGCGCCACATACGACGACGAGCAGACTTCCTGACACTAATGTGACAAACCCAAGACTACATCATTGAATAGTACCAATTATTGAGATTGTTGCTTGACTTCATTTGACCAAGATCCTCCTTTCATTATTATTGTGTTCAGATGCCAAGATGAAAAAGAAGCCAGTCAATATATTACTTACCTCTAAAAAAAGAGGACATTTAATGGAAAAAAAGTAAAATTTAATATGAAGCTATATTAATTGTAATAAAGATCGGGGTATTAAATATTGACAACAACATGAGGGATAAATCAATATTTCTATAGTATTACACAGAAATCATATCAACAAAAAATCATTAATATAGACATAATATTAAATATTTATTTATTATTTAAATATTTTTTACTGATCTTTTTATTTTTATAACATGTCTCTCGAAATAAGTATCGACATAAACATAAAGATCATAAAATTGACACACTTTGGTTAATGGATTGTACCAATATGGTTTGTGATTGTTCATTCCCACCACATTACAATGCTTGCTCCATTAACATTCAATTCACTATATATGCCCATCTAAAGCCAATTGTCAGGCAGTGAAGATCAAGATCATAAAAAAATGAGACAAATTATCTTGCTCTTCATTCTCATTGTAGCTATTTCCCTCCACCGCAGCGTCCATTGTGCCACTGCGGTGAGCACAGACAGAATTAGGATACACCTTGTTGGTCGAGATGGACTATATTTGGACAGCAGAGAGCCAAGCCGCTACACGCCCCCGAAACTAGTCCGATGCGAGGAAAAGGGAGAGAGACAAGTGTGGAGCATCTTTGACGACGACACCATTCGTCGAACCTTCTATAGATGCCTCTTCTCTTACGGCAAAAAAATCATAGGATCATCAAACAACCTCGTAAAAACAGGCATGTGCAACAATCTAAACACAACAAGAAAAGACATGGAGCCTAAACACGAATCCCAACACCATCTCCCACGTGGATTTTCCACCACTGGTCCAACTTGGTCATGGATGTGATTCCGATGGACGACGAGCCACAAGTGGTTATTTTGTTTACCCGAAATGGGGCTCCTACTCAGCAATGGACAGTGATGTGAATGAATGAATTACATCGAGAAAAATACTTAGGTTCTTACCGATGAGATCTATCATGTGCTCATTAATAATGTTAAATGTTTGACAACTAAGAAAAAGGTAAAATAAATAATTATTTTTAATATAATAGATTGTCAAATATTTAATAGTGGTCCGCGTATATAGAGATAGATTATTAACGGTAAAGACTAAGTGTTTTATGATGAGGAGGGCTAGTTACTATGGCTAGGTTGAATGTAATCCACACACAACGCTTGTCCGAAGGAATAAATAAGTGTGTGTGAATATGTTGTGACTTTTATCTAGACCCAACTAAAAGCATAAGGTTATATTAGAAGTTTAGGCTCCGTTTACTTACTTAGAATATCGTAATGTAATTAAGTCAGAATGAAAATCACCACCGAGCTATGCTCATGTACACTCCCTCACATCATTTGTTTTTTTTAGTACAACATGTAGGGGTTGGGGGATCGAGCTCACAACCTCTTGATTAGAGATATATGTCAATTACCGCTAAGCTATGTTCGCTTTGATCATGCCCCCCACATCATCTTTTAGTACGATATCATTGATACAATTTTTTTTCTTTTTCTTTTTATTTTGCAAAATTTGTAAGTTTTGGTAGAATTTTTAATTCTAGATGTTGTGCATTAATCCAACTTAACTTGATAAAAGCTTGATTTTTATTGTTGTTCACGGATCATAAAGTGACAACTATTACATGAATAATTTCTTATGACATGTCATGCCTCCGCATCATTTTTTCAGTACAATAATTTAGAGATATGGAAGCTCGAATCTCCGACCTCGAAGAAAAGAATACATGTCAATTACTACCGAATTATGTCCATGTACACGCCCCCACATCATTGATACAAAGGTACGTGGCTTCCCTAATTCATTACAACTATAAATTTTAACTTTTGTTCACGATAAGAGTCCATTGTGGACTATATCCAATTTCTACCACATATTATCCACTTTCAACTTAATTAGATCAGTTTTGGCTCAATTCTTTGTGACTCATTCCACTACAATTCCACTACAATAATAATGCTTCCACCATTAACAACATTAACTTGATTGTGTGTTATTCTTATATACACACACATCATCTTACCCAACTTCTTCAATCTAGTGCAAATTAAATTAAGCCAAATTCCAAAGTGAGATGATGGAGAAGATATATTGATGACAGAAATCTTGCTCTTCATTGTTACTGTGGTTGTTTCACTCACCGGTCATCGCCCCATTCGTGGGCGAAATTAGGATAGGTCGAGACGGGCCATGTTTCAGCCAGTGGTGAGTCAATCCACTTGTTATTAAAAGTGTAATTGTCTCGTGTCGAAAAGTTACAAAGAGGAAGTATGCTCAAAATGCTAAAAGGGAACCCATAGTCTTAGATTTTATTCATCTCAAATGGAGACATTTTAAGTTTAGGGAGTTTTGTTTTTTATTTCATTATATTTTATTTTTTGTAATTGAGGTTAAGAAGAGAAATATAATTTTCCCTATGGTTTTTCTTGAATTTGGAGTTTTTTACATAAATTCTCATTGTTACTTTCATTAAAATTTTCAACTATTTTTTACTTATTCCTGCAGTGGAAATAAAAGGTTTTTTTTCATCACTACCGTCAACTTTCTCAAAATACATCTTTACAAGCAAAGTGTGAACATTCATTGGAAAATATATTGACCCCATTTGCAGGGGTCATCAGATTTCTAACCTTTCTATCATTTTGCTTTCGTTAGTTAGAATGGTTGGGGTGACTTCAAAATTCTAGTAACATTCTTCCCTTCCTTGATTCACGATCCTTGCTGTTGAATTAATCTCCCATGTGTCAAGACCCCGGCTTCAATGTTCTCAATTGCAAGCATCTGCGGAACATAAATCCTCGTAGAAAAATGCACAAAATCAATGATTCAAGAAAATATCAGGTGAATTTGCGACGTTCTTTMGAARAAGACCTTTATTTGAAAAGAGAAATCAAYACCTGAATGATCAAACAATTTTTCTTGTCATTTCCTTTTATGGGAAATACGAAAATTAAATTTTAGTTTCCCTACTCTCTCATCTCTCTCCTCTTTCTTCTTCAGAAAATATGTGATCCTTCACTCCATACTACATGCAGACAGCATTCATAAATATGCCAATTGAGACTACTAATACTTGACTTCATTTTGACCAAGATCTTTTTCTTATTATTATCATCATTGTGTGATGCAAAAAAAAAATGGAAGCAATTAGTGAAAATATTACTTACCTCTAAACGTGGAGGACGTTGAACCAAAAAGAAAAGTAAAATTTAATGCGATTGTAGTAAAAGACTTTTTTATCATAAAATTGACACTTGATTAGTGGATTAATTGTGTGTACCAATATGGTTTGTGATTCATTCCCACTAGATTACCAATGCATGCTCCATCAACGTTACTTCACTACAAATATGCATATAACCCAAGATCAATCAAGATCATAAAGATGAGACGACAAATCTTGCTCTTCCTTCTCATCGTAGCTATTTCCCTCATCCACTGCGCTACCGCGTTGGACACAGGTGGAGTTAGGACACGTCTTATGGGTCAAGATGGGCTATGTTTGGACAGCGATGGGACGAGCCGCTACAACTTCCCAAAACTAGTCCCATGCAACCCCAAGGAAGAGAGGCAGGTGTGGAACATCGTCGACGACGGCACGATCCATTGGACCAACGACAGATGCCTCTTCCCTTACGGCAAAAAGGTCACAGGACAATACTTCCTCGTAAAAACAGGCATGTGCGACGAACTGACACAGCAAGAAAAGACATGGAGCCTAAACAACAATCCCAACACAATCTCCCACGTGGACTCGGGCCTCGTCCTGACCGTGAAAAACTACACCAAGACTCTCACGGTGGTGCCCTACAAGAGCAACAACCCATCGCAGATTTGGGCCATTCAAGAAGCTCCACGTGTCGGCCTCATCATGGGACTTCACAACTACAAGTGTCTGTGGTCAGACGGGCCACATCGGTCCGGCCAAGTGTTTGTGCATGACTGTTTGGCAGGTACGTGGTTCAACCAAGTGTGGGCGTTGTTTCACGACGGCTCCATTCGTTTGGAATCGGACAGAAGTTTGTGCTTGACGTCTTCGTCGGGGGCGGCTCCTTATTTCTTTGTGGATGTGTTTAAATGCGAGGACAAGGCTGAGCAGCGGTGGGTGGTGGAGACTGACGGCGGCGCCATTCACCACCCCGGCTCCGACTTGGTCATGGATGTCATTCCGATGAGCAACCAGCCACAACCGGTTGTTCTGTTTTCGCAGAATGGCGCGACAACCCAGCAATGGACGTTTATGCATCTGTGAATGAATTACGTGGGGAAGATGAAGAGAAGACTCATGTACTTATTACTATTAAATGTTTGACAGCTAAAAAACAAATCATTTAGAAAAAATAATAATTTGTCAAATATTTTAATATTGATCAGCAACAATCTAAGTATTTTCTTATCTGAAAAAAACTTGTTATTGGCTATATATGTTGTGAATGTAATCCACACACAATGTCTGCCCTACGAATAAATAAGTGTGTGGGTATGTTGTGACTTGTCTAAACCGAACTAATTAAAAAAAATACTCTTAAATTACAAATGTAATTAGAGTTCTTAAACTTAATTTATATACGTCTATAAATTTTTAATTTTATATCTCATAAGTTTTTAACTTTCAATTTTGTTTCAAATACATCTTTTAACTTTCAATTTTGTGTTTAACATAATTCTTCAATTTTATATTTTTCAAAACTCATAAATGTTAGATACAAAATCTATCTCACAAGTTTTTAATTAATTTTGTATCTAATAAATCTATAAATTTTAAAAAATGTATAGGTTAGAAACTTGTATGCATAATTGACAGTTTAGAAATTTATTATACATTTTTAAAATTTAGTAATTTATTAGACACAGAGTTTAAAATCTTATCAAACACAAAATTTCATAAGTCCTATTAGATATATTTTAAAGTTTAAAAACTTATTTTCTAATGAGTCAAAGGAAAATTAATGAGTGGCAAACTTAGGTTTCCATCAATTTACAAATTTGTTACAAGAAAAAATAATTTGTCAATATGACCATTTTCTTTCTTGTACATCACCATTTTGTCTCGTTTTCCTCAAGAATTTCAGTGTGATGCAACTATTTTTTTACACATTACCCCAATTAAGGAATGTAATATAGGGTTGTGATTTATTCCACTACAATAATAATAATAATAATAATAATAATAATAATAATAATAATAATAATGCGTGATTCATTAACACATTAATTAACTTGATTAGTGTGTTCTTATACACACATATCATCTTACCTAACTTCTTCGAACTATTTCAAAACAAATCAAATTAAATTAAGTGAGATAATGGAGTGAATAAGATGATGAGAGAACATGCCTACATGAACATAGTTCGGAGGGTTAAGGTACTTATGTGCGATAAGATGGTCGTGAGTTCGAATTCCTCCATTTATATGTTGTACTCATGGAAAAAAAACAGAGAGAGAGAAAAATCTTGATCTTCGTCATGTTAATGTGGTTGTTTTCCTATCGGCCACCGCCCGTGGAACTATGACTCCCCTATGGGTCAAGATGGATGATGTTTGGACAATCTTATAGGTCGAGCAACTATAACTTCGTCAAAACATATTTACAAGTCAAAGTGTGAATATTTATCGGAAAAATGATTGAATCAGATCATCACTACTCCCAAGTAACTATTGGATATAGATTTGAAATCTATGTGCCCTCATAAATAGATCATTAGACATATATTCTATCATTTCTCTCATATATCATCTAATGGTATAAAACTATCCGGCACTCATACTTGAATATAATTCAACATGTTAAAACATATATCATCAGTCAAAAGGTAGGAAATTAGAATCTCTCGCCCCACATATTACTGAACTAAAAATAAAAATCATCTCGATATTGGTTGTTATTTGCTGTTAATGAGTTAATAAATAGATAATGTGACTTTAATCAGCTAATTGAGGTGTTGACCTAGACTTGTATTGGATTCAAATAAGAATCTGGAAGTCTTATACACCAGCGGTAATAATCCTTTTATGGTCAACGTTATGAAAGATACAAATGCCATAAGTAAAAGACATTGATCGAAATGTCAACTTTTCAATTTTTTTTAAATATAGGATAAATTTGACTTTTTTAATGTGTTTTAATTTATATATTACATTCGAGTTTAACTTTAATTTGGATTACGCTGCTTTTGTAAAATTTTAAGCATTTTGTTATATTTTGGTAATGTTAAAGTACTTTTCTTAATCCTTTAATCGAAGTCCTTTTACATATAAGCCTCCACTGGTTGGATGAATGATTAAAAGTAGTTTCTTATGAGAGAAAAAAATTGGGTTGTGATTCATTCCTACTACATTAGTAAATGCATGCTCCATTAACATCAATTCATTTTGTGTAATATATATGCACACACAAAGAAGCTGCACACCTTCACCCACGTCCACTCTGGCCTCGTCTTGACCGTGAAAAACTACATTTACACTCTCACCGTGGAACCCGGTCCCTTATCTTTTTAATGTGAAATCCATAACCTGCCTCCTCAAGATCGTGGCTCTTTTAGCTCATCGATCTTGGTTGAATTTTATTTTTGGAGAGGATGCTCGTTTGAACTTTTGGATTCTGATACCATATCAAGATTCATGGAGTTCCATCTCAAAATCAATTGGCGATGGGAGGAGTAACCCACTAATATTATAAACCATTTTTAGGTCATTTATCTTTTCAATGTGCTACAACCCAGCAATGGACGTTTATGTGAATGGATGACGAGGGGAAGAGGAAGGAGACGGGTCGGCAGACCTTACCTACTGTCTCTTAACATTCATGGAATTTCATCTTAAAACTAATTGACAATGAGATGAAGATGTCATGTATCTTATAAATCTTGTTAGGTCTCTTAATCTTTTCGATAGCATGCTAACACGGTCAAATGTAAGTATGTTGAGTATAATGTAATTCCACACACACAAGCAATTGTGACTTGTCTATACCTATCTACTTTTCTATGTTTGATTATCCAACTAGTAAAAAGAATGTTAAATTACAATTTTAGTTGCGTTTAATGTCTCCAAACTTCCGATTTTGTGTGTAGGTTCTTATCTTTCAATTTTTGTGTTTAACAAATCTTGAACTTTTTTGAGATTTTGTAAAATCCATAAATTTATTAGACACAAAATTTACCATAAACTACTATAGAATTGTCAAATATCCAAGTATAATAACTCAGATTTCTGTGTCACTGTCTAACATAATATAATTGATATATGAGTAACTCAAAAGTGCTAAAAAGTTTGCTCGTGGTTTAGAAGGAAGGAGAATACTTGGCTCCTTATCGATGAGGAACAACTTATTATTTAAAATATATATATGTTTTTGTATTCTTAGTTGTAAAACATTTGATGGTCGGTCCTCACCGGAGCCAAGTATTTTCCTAACGGGAATGAGTTATAAACCCCATATAACGTCTACGTATATCCTTTGAATTAATTTCTAAATATAGTACGATGGTTGTCCCATAAGATTAGTCCCTCTAATAAAGGAGTAAGATATTGTATGACTATCATACATCTCAATACATACTATTAGGATATTTAACTATGGTTTAATGGTAAATTCAACTAATTAAAATAATTATCCTTGATCAATTGTGAAATTTGTGACAAATAAGACTTTAGGAATATTCTAGACATTTTTCTATGAAGAGAAAGAATTAGATCTAGAATTTCTCTAAATATGAAATTCGTGACAAATAAAACTTTAGGGGTATTGTAGAAATTTTTTTATGAAGAGAAAAGAATCAGGTCCACAATTTCTCCAAATATGAAATTTGTGAGAAGTAAAAGTCCAGGGGTATTCTAGATATTTTTCTATGAAGAGAAAGAATTACGTGCACAATTTATCTAAATAGATGGATGGATGGAGATTAAGAAGTTCAAAGTGGTTGGTGATTCAAATTTGGCGAGTCTATCTTTCAGCGATACTTTTTTCCACTAATAACTCCTCCCCAACCCGATCTTCATGGTTTTTTTTTTTTTAATGAATTGCTTATCATTAGACCTCGTGGGTGCAAAGTAAGCAGCTCAACGGTAATCGACATATATCTCCAACCAAGAGGCAACACACAAATAATCGTCGGGCAAAGATCTCTTTCCCGACAAAATGTAAATAGATGGAACTTTTCCCGACTATTTTCTACTATAGTCAAGGTATACTTCTCTTGACTTTTTTAGGAAAGCGTTGGACAATACTTTTACAATTTTTTTAATAATACAACTCCCGACTATTTTCAAAGTTAGTCGGGATAAGTTAAATTTCCCGACGGTTTTAAAAAGATATTCGGGAGAAGTTGACTTTACCCAACTATGTTAGTGAACCGTCATGAATTTTGTTTTTTAAATATTACAACTCCCGACTATTTCTAGAAATAGTCGGACAAAGTTAATATTCCCGACGTATTTAGAAAATGGTCGGGAGAAGTTGAATTTACCCGTCGCATATTTTTTTATTTTTTAAATATATTTTTTTAAACATTACATCTCCCCAAACTATTTCGAAAAAATCGTCGTCGGGCAAAGTTAGTATTCCCATGGTCAGGAGAAATCGACTTTACCGGACTATTTTAGTAAACCACCTGGGAATATTGTTTTTTTTTTTTAAATATTAATTCTCTCGGTTTAAAAAAAATCCTCCCGACCATTTTAAAAACAGTCGGGAGAAATTGAATATATTCCAGACAATTTGTAATATACCGTCGAGTCAAATAAATATTGCGCGACGCTTTTAAAAAACCCTCTCTCTCTTGTGTGGGCTGAAATTGAGTAAATGTTCTCCACCACAAGACGGAGGGGAAAGTGCTGAAACCTAACTACAAGAGTTGCAAATGTGAAACTGATTGATGAGGTTCCTACCAATCTGCACAAACTTAGCAACAAGTTAGCAACTTGTTCCCTCCTCTATAATTTGGAATTTCATATACTTTTTTGGTCCCCTGCTCTATAATCTGCCATTCATTTTTCCAGAAGAGTTCTACATTGCCTAAAACAACTCAACCAAAAAGAACTAATTAACGAACTAATTATTCTGATTGGATTCGTAAGTTAGTTCAAACAAAGTCTCACATTGGTTAAAGAAGAAAAATATTTTAGGTTTATATGTGAGGGACAACATCTTTGTTGGTACGAGGTCTTTGCAAAGTAACGACACGATAGTCAGGTTTAAAGTGGACAATATTATATAATTGTAGACCTATCTTATCTTTAATGGGTCGAGTTCGAATTTATTGCTCCATAAAAATCCTCTCTTGTATCTTTTTACTAGTTTTTGGTCCCACCAAGAAACGTAGACAATATTACTTCTTTCATTTTCAACAAAAGTTGAATTAAACCATTAAAAGAAAGGAAAATTTGTTATGAAATTGAACTCTTTTTTCTTTTAATTATAAATACCAAGCTTTTTCCACGCAGAACTCGAAGATAGCGTTGAGTTTATCGGCCTCTCTTTTCTTTGCCATTGTTTTTTCCCTTTCATCTCTCATATTTAAGCTCTTCAATCATCAATGGAGTTCGACTTGAAGGCAATGAATGACCAGACCTTCTCGGAGAGCGACGGCGGAGCCTACTACAACTGGCCGTCTTCTCAGTTTCCGGTGCTGTCGAAAGCCGATGTCGCCGCTGGCAGACTCGTCCTCCGCCCCCGCGGCTTCGCCCTCCCCCATTACGCCGATTCTTCTAAAGTTGGTTACGTTACACAAGGTGAGCTTATCTCGATGTTTAATTTAGATACCTTCTAGAAAAATTGGCATGGAAGGACATCGAAAAGATGACTTGAGGAGACTTCCTTAAAATTTGTCATTCTTAGTATACTATATGCCAAGAATTTTATTGTCAAATATGAGTCGGCATATATTTTTTTCCTTTTAAGATCGGGAGTTCAAATTCACACTCTCATATAGATTGCACAGCTCGTAATTCTATTAATTTCTTAAGGAGTTTCAAATGCTTTAGACTAATATAGTTTTCGTCTAAACAAAAATAACTAATAACACCTTAACACACTTTAATTCCTATATATTTTTGGTCGTCTTACGAGATTAATCGACGTGTGCATGCACGTAAATTGACATGGACATTTATGGATATATATATATATATAACCTTAGTATTTTTTTACCTTGTATAGTACCTTAAATATTTATGATACAATAGGCAATGGAGTGGTGGGATTGGTGCTTCCAAATGAGTCAAAAGAGCAAATTTTGGAGCTGAATAAAGGAGATGCAATACCAGTTCCGCCGGAGCCGTCTCCTGGTGGTTCAACGGCGGCGAAGATTCCGATTTGGAAATCATATTCCTCGGCGAGACTTCAAATTCCCACATCCATGGCGAACTTACCTACTTCCTTCTCGCCGGAGCTCAAGGAATCCTCTCAACTTTCTCGCCGGAGTTCATTTCCAAAGCCTATAATTTTAACAATATTGAAGAAGCAAACAAGCTCACGCGTAGTCAATCAGGGGTTTTGATCGTCAAGCTACCGCCGGTCAAATCCCTGCCGGAGCCGCAGCCGCTGCCCGGCAAGATGGTGTTCAACTTGGCCGGTGCAGAGGCCGAACGCAAGGCTACGGTTGGTGTGTCGGTTAGAAGTGTCGAAGAGTCGAAGTTTCCGTTTATTGGACAGACGGGCCTGAGTGCAAGCCTTGAGACACTTTGTTCCAATGGTGTTCGCTCTCCGATTTATGCTGCCGATTCGTCGGTGCAAGCGATCTATGTCGTGAGTGGCTCGGGTCGGGTTGAGATTGTCGGGTTCAACGGCGTTAAGATGGTGGCCGGAGTGAAGGTGGGACACTTGCTGGTGGTTCCGAAGTACTTTGTGATTGGGAAAGAGGCCGGTGAGGATGGAATGGAGTGTTTCTCCATTGTCACCAACCTTAGGTCAGCTTTCTCGTCTTCTTCAAGTCTCATTCTAGACTCTACACTCAAAGGTTTTTCAAATCATTTCTAAAAGATAAAATAAAAGTAATTTTCATGAATATTTAAAAATTTTGATAGGCTTTTAAATTATTTCAAAAAATGAAAAACTAAATTAATAAATAAAACATAGGCATGTAGCTGGTACATTAATTAAACCAGCATTTTAACTTTACATTAAAAAAAAAATAGTTCTTGTTACTTTTTTTAATCTCGTAATAAAAATCTAATGTGTATATCTTTTATATTTTATTTATCAAATTAATAGATATTTATGTTAACAAAATATTTAACCTATAAGTCTTATGTTTCTAATGAAAAATTAATGGTAAGAACGAAAATTGTTTTTAAATAAAAGTATAGGTTACTAATGCTATTCTAATGACAAATTAACGCAACAAGGCGTTCGTTGTTGAGGAGTTTAAGTTGATATTTAAATAAAATTCTAGGGACTAAATAAAATAAAATTAATAAGAGTATGATAGACAACCAAAAAAAATAAAAAAAGGAAAAAATATTGGTTAACTATGATGATTGGATTTGATAACATTACAGGCCTGTGATAGAGGAGTTGGCTGGAAAGGCATCAGTGTGGGAGGCATTATCTGAAGAAGTTTTACAAGTGTCTTTTAATGTATCTGCTGATTTTGAAAAAATGTTCATTTCAAAAGCAGCTAATTCAAATTGAAAATTCCTTGGATTTTAGCTATTTATGTGCTCAATAATCACAGTCTTGTATTCTTTCCTTTTATAATTTTACTAATGTGTCCAATAATTTCATGAATAAGATCAAACATGTTTTTACTTTTGATTCGCGTTAACACAACAGTAGTGATATCAGAAAATTATCGAGTCAATTATTTTTGCCTAACTCAATTGATTAAGGTATCTTTGATTAAAAAAAAAATAAAAGATTCAAATCTTCATCCTCATGTATTTGAATTCAGATAAGAAGAAAAAAAAATGGAAAAATATATAACTAATTTTTATTTAAAATTTAGAAATTAAAATAAAATATTTTAAAAATTAAGGGTTTAAAACGAAATATTTTAAATGTTGATGATGAAAATAAAATATGTATAAAACTACATGAACTAATATAAGATTCGGTTTAAAAGTAATATATTTGATATTTTAATGGGATCTAATTAAGGGATTTGGTTGGACTTTTTCAGTTGCTAACTTTTGTAAGAAAATAATTCAAGTCTTACACTCTTACTTTCCTTCTTTCTAATTAAATGACATTTCTACATGTCGATAAAAAAAACAAAATGATGTTTCTACATTAAAAAAAAATGTCATTACCTGTCGGGAATAACCCTTTTTTTATGAAGGATATTGTGATGTCGGAAAAAACGTCACAAAATCTTTTCGTGATTTTAAGTGATTGTTATCACCTCTTACCTATTTTGTTCATATTATTTTAATAAATAATTAGATTGTCAACCTGAACTATCGATAATTTTCGAAAATTAATTATATTTAAATTTAATTTTTCAAAATCATTCATTTTATTACTTTCAAACCTATGAAAGCCTGCAGGCAATGGAATTGGCGGACTTTTATTTCCGGGCAAGTCCAGCGAATTTGTGATGAAACTAGAGAAAGGAGACCTAATTCCGGTACCGGAAGGCGTCACCTCCTGGTGGTTCAACCCCGAAAATGACGACTCCGATTTCGAGATCCTCCTCATCGGCGACTCCTCACACGCCCTCATCCCCGGCGACGTCACATACGTCGTATTCGCGGGACGTCTCGGAATCCTCCAGAGTTTCCCGCCGCAGTACGTCGCCGGATCTTACTCCCTAAACGAAGAAGAATCCGCCGCTCTTCTCAGAAGCCAATCCAACGGCCTGATCTTCAAGCTCCGGCCGGACCAAACCCTACCCGAACCGGACGAAAGCAGCGGTCTGGTTTTAACATATACGACGCCGTTCCGGACGCCCGACTGGAGGCCGGCGGGTCAGTGACGGCCGTGACAGAGGATAAATTTCCGTTCATTGGGAAGTCTGGGCTGACGGCGGTGCTCGAGAAGCTTGAGGCTAACGCCGTTAGGGCACCGGTCTACGTGGCGGACCCGTCGGTGCAACTTATTTATGTGAGTCGCGGGTCGGGTCGGATTCGGGTGGGCGGGTTTTTGGGGAAAATGGATTCGGAGGTGAAAGCGGGGCAGCTGGTTTTGGTTCCAAAGTACTTCGCCGTCGGGAAGGTCGCCGGCGATGAGGGAATGGAGTGCTTCTCCATTATCACAACTACACAGTAAGATAAATTTTTTATTTTTGTTTATTTATTTATTTTTCATAATCTTGACTTGGAGTTAAAAGAATGTTTTAGAAAAATTTTATAAACTTTATAGGAAATGAAAGCGTTATACCCAACAAACTTGTGTTTTGAAGGGACAATATAAACTTAATTATTTCCTGTTTTTTGAAATTTAGATTATATTTTATGGCTTTTTTGTTAAGTGAAAAACTACCACAAGGAAAATGTTGGTAATAGATTACAAACAAATTTCATTAATTTTTCAAACAAACAATCATTATCAAGCAAATTAAAGGTTTGGTTTTTCTAAAATTAAGCTAAATGTAAACTACAAAATAATTGTGGGATAAACTAAACCTAATTTTTAAAAACAAAAAAAAACAATAAAGTTAAACAACCAATTTGATGTTTATGATTTGAGCTTAAATTCAATTTGATCACTATAATTTTAAATGTTTTATTCTTATTCTTATATATATTTTTTAGGCTTATTTTAAATTTGGTCCAATGATTGATTTTTATAGTTGGGTCAAATCCGATCACAAATTAACCCTCATAGGTGATTTATTGATCCAAATGGACTAGGGTTAATTAAGAAGAAATATGTTCAAACCTCATCTTGATCACCTACGAATAAAATTAAAAAAAAAAATTATCATAAGTTGTTTGAGTCCTTACCATATTGAATATGTCTACTTGCATAGAAACGACCGTTAACGTTTTGTATTACTATCGAGTATATATATATTGTTGTTATATATTTATTTATTTATTTTGATGAGAATGGTTAGTGAAAGCTGGGCTTGGTTTGTTAACAAATTGCAGCCCTCTAATAGAAGAATTGGGAGGGAAAGATTCGATTTTTGGGAGTTTATCAGCACAAGTTTTTCAAGTTTCATTCAATGTCACAGCTGAGTTTGAGAAGCTTCTCAGGTCAAAGATAACAAAAGCCTCACCCCTGGTTCCTCCCTCAAATCATGGAAAACCCTAACTCCCAATATCACTGTCGACATGTCGTTTTGGACTCTCTACATCGTCGACCATCGTCATGTGCCTTCAATTATTGGGTTGGTCAATAATGCAACGTGTGCCGTAGTGTACTGGTTTCTAATTATGAGCACAAAATAAATAATAATAATAATAATAATAATAATAATAATAATAATAATAATAATAAAAGGCTATTTTGTGCGATCTTGAATTGATGTGTGTCCAGCATGTAATAATGTGACAAATATATGTGATTTTTTTAGTAAGGTGGGACCAGTCATATTGATTTTAAATCAAGAAAATGATAAAAATAACTGGTGAAAGTTTTTTAGGGTAAGATAGATAAGTTTCTATTTGGGTCTATATGTCGGACAACTAAAGTAATTGAACAATTTTTTTTAGTATAGTATGTGGGGGTAGGGTTCGAACTCATGACTTTTTGATCAGAGATAAATGCATTAACCATTTGAGCTATGTTCGGTTTGGCGAAATAATTGAACAGTCCCTCCCTCTCAAGCAAGAGATATGATACGATGTTGTTCTTGTTTTTTTTTTTTTTTGACATCAGTGACTTTTTGGTGGTAACTTTTGTCATTAAAAATAATATAAAATTAAAAATATCCAACACTTCAATGCCACGTCAACAATCTATCAGTGATACTAACAAAATGCTAACTTCATGGATCTTTTAGAACTATTTCTTAAAGGTCGGAGACTAAAATATCACTTTTTGAAAGTTAGGGACCAAATAGAAATTTATCTGCAAACTCAGGGACTAAAAGTGTATTTTACCTTTTTTTATTGGTATGTTATATATTTATTTACTTCGGTGTGTGTATAAGTATGTATACGTTGTGTATGTCAATTACTTAATTACAAGTATATATTGTTTATCATTTATATATTAATACATTCCTCTATATGTTTATAAGAACATAGACTATACTTGTATAGATTATTTATAAGTATATATTATTTATCACGTATCAATACATGTATTTTATATATAGAGAGAGGGGTTAATTTTGTTTCCTCTTCCACGTGTTGTTTGCAAATTATATATATGCATATATTATTTATAAGTATATATTATACATCAATTATATAATAATACATGTTATTTTATAGATTTACTTATATACATCATATATGTAAGCTATATATATAGAAGCATATTTGACTACTCAATCATATATGATAAAACGTTGTATATCCTTCTTGATTAAAAGAAAAATGTTATTGTTATTATAAATTTATTTATAATTAATTTGATTTGATCATTTCAAATTATTTGACTTTTTTTGTTAGATTTGCTTTTGTTAAAGTTATTTTAGTCTTTATTAAAAAATAAACCAACTTTAGGTTTCTTTTGTAACTTATCAAATATATTTATTGAATTGGTGCGATAAACTGATCGGGACACTCAGAGATATTAAAAAAAAACTTTGAAATAACTTTCAAAACATCTCTCAATCAAGATGATTTTTTTTTCCAAACACAGCAGAGATGATTGGAGTATGAATGAAGTAAGAAAAAAAATCTGGGCCTCAAAAACAAAAGTTACAAATCCTTAATTATCGGAAATATTTTCAAAATATTAGTGATATTTTAAAAAGAAATTTACATTCGTTCAATCAATTTTTTTATTATTCATAGATATGTGAATTCGAATTTCTGACTTTTTATCGATAATATATATTTTAATTAATTGAATTATATTTATATTGACAATGAAAATATTATTGACGTTTTAAAAAATATTGATGCGATTGTCATGAATATTTAATACCTTATGAATTATTTATAAGTCACTGATACAGACCAAACTCTTTTACCGTAAATGCCCTTTGGCGTGTTAACAATTGAAATGTCAAAAGTACCCTTATCGTTTTCATGTTATTTCCCAAATATTAATGTGTCAGAAGTTAGAACTCAGTGTTTCTGGGCCAGAATATGTCAGATTTTAAGTTATATTTTTCATTTTCTATTTATTTATTATTTTTTAATCTCTTTTCTTGGCTTTACTTAGATATTCGAGTCTAGTTGTTACCGACAATTTATTTTTAAATTTATATGTAATATTTTTTTTATTAAATCATTGTACTAATATATAGGTTATCCAAATGGTTCATCATTTATATAATTTTCAATTTAAATTTTATAAAGTCTAAAGAAGGCACAGTTTGGAAGTTAATTATCTAAATTACATTTTCTCATGTACTATAAATTTTAGATTATTTTAAATATAATAATTAGTAAAAAAAAATTAGTAAACGAGAATTTTGGATCTCACTGTCTACGTATTGTTAAACTAAAAAAATAAATCATTCTCAATTTTTTTTTAACATAGACTTGGAAAGCATTTGGCAAGTTAGACCCATCAAATTAAATGCATATATTGAATGTGTAACTATTTTTGAAATTTGATACCTGAATACTCGATTTGATAACCCGCTACTGATTCTTCTTCTGTTTCTATTAAATCAAAAGGTAATCTCTCGCATTCTGCTAAGGAAAAAATTAGAAAAATAACAAACCTTATTGGTTGACGCCACAAATTTCACCCCAAACCATATTTTGATTGAGCCTCAACTATATCAACTGTATTCGAACTGTTAGATAATCATAGTCTACAATAATATTATTGTTCTCATCGCTATTATAGAACCGTACATGAGATTTTCACCTCATACAGCTCCTTGAGGGCCATAAATAAATCTAAGGAGCGTGTCGGGATTATTTATCTTAATATATTTTTTTTATAGAATAGTATAGGATAAATCTATCGTGTGTCCCCAAATTAATCCTTCTGTAGTTCTAATAATAATAAAAAAAAGGGTACTTCGGAATTGATCTCATCCTTAAATAAAAAATAATCCTTATCGGACTTGAAACCAAATTCAAATTTTGTTCAATTAAAGCCTAAACATCTTTCTCAAAACCACTTCCTTAATCAAATACAATATACTCATAATATAGGTTGACTTTCTTGAAAATTGAAAAGAGATCTCATTGTTTTCAAGAAAAAAAAATATCTCATTTAATGAAATTCAAATTAATTAAAATAGATTAAAGAAATCTAAGATCTTCAAATAAGTGATAATAATTTCAGTACTATTCATAAAACTATTTTGCATTTTCAAAATATTTTGTAAACTACGTCGTACTTTCTTTCTTTTTATAATTAATTACAAATTTTTCACAAAAGCACTCTACTTATACTATTTTCATATTGTATTTTTAACTTTGATTCTTTTTTCTTTCTTTCTACTTTCAAAATACATATGTTTTGGTTACCATTTTAGTTCATATTTACAAATTTTTAACACAAATTTCATATACAATAGAAATATTTAATATAGATTTATAACTGTATTTTAATAATATTAGTGAATAAGTGATATACTAAAATTTGATCGAAATAAACACGATAAAAATAAAAATGGAGGGAAGAAAACCAAAACAGTTTGCATAATTAGAAGTTATGACATGTAAATACCTTTTTAAATGTACAAATACCTAAGAAAAACTATTCGAAAGTAAAATAACATAAATAAACAAAAGTTAAAAAGTGGAAAGACCAAACAAAAAAAAAATCTGATATTATGGACCACATAATATATAGATTCTCATCTAATCTAATCTAATCATCATTATAACTATTATTATTAATTTTATAATCATCTTTATACGTAGTTTTCCCAAATAATAATAGAGGCGTAGGACATTCACAAAACAACCTATTTACTTGATTGAGCACTCATGTGCAAGATGAAACGTGTTTGCATAATTAGAAGTTAATTAAAGTGAAACCTATATTTAATACGTTAATTTGCTTGTTTCATATATTACGATTTTATTAATCCTAAAGTTGGGTAAGCGGTTGATGAAATCTGTACTTTCTATTTAAAAAATAATATTGAAAAAGTTTAACAGGACCAAAATGATATTTGGACCCCTTTAAAATTATATACTTACAACTCAATCCCCTCCATATTTCTCCACAATAATCCATCAATGGAGCAGCTGAACTTGCAGCCTATGAGTCCCAAGCCCTTCTTTGAAGGGGACGCCGGATCCTATCAAAAATGGCTGCCCTCCGACTATCCATTGCTTGCTCAGACCAAGGTTGCCGCCGGCAGGCTTCTCCTCCGCCCTGGCGGTTTCGTCGTTCCTCACTAGGCTGATTCCTCCAAGGTGGGCTACGTTCTTCGCGGTAAATTCCTTCCATTTCTAAAATTTAATTTCATATCCTTTTTCCTTCTTCGCCCTCTCTCTAATTACGAGGATGTTTGCAGGTGGCGACGGAGTTGCCGGATTTGTGTTTCCGAACAAGTCCGACGAAGTGGTGGTGAAGTTAAGAGAAGGAGATTTGATCCCAGTGCCAGCAGGAGTCACGTCGTGGTGGTTCAACGATGGAGACTCCGATTTTGAGATAGTCTTTTTGGGTGAAACCAAAAGTGCGCATGTGCCTGGGGACTTTACTTACTTCAT